TCTATTCATAATGCACTCCGTCTTGGAAAACAACATTCTATAATACTGATCGGACCTCGTTCACAGAACTTATTATTTTTCCCTGCGAATGATTCTCCGAGTTCAGACAAAGTGGTAGTGGGATAAAGCCATGTTTGATGACCACAAGGAATGGCGTCTGGTTTCTCATTCTACGTTGCTTCACATTCATGAAGTCGCAATTGTTCTATGTGGGAAGCCTGGGAAGTTTGATGCGGCGCTCATAGACCCAATCTAAAGGATTTTTCGAGATATGGGTTGTTCCTAAGGGCGGATAGTGGACAAAAGTTCCACGCTTGATGAATGGAAACATTTGACTTTCCCTCCAATATCATTCGCAGCACATCCTTAGCTAGCACAGCAATCCTTCCACTACGAGCCTCTTCTCTCGGGCTGTAACCTCTGGAACGGAACTTCAGGGGCCATAGCTTGGGCTCGCACTTTCATTGCCCTTCCATATTAATCATCAATACTGCTGACCTTCCCTCAGCATTACTTCCTCAGAAATATGCCAGAAATTCCCTTTTGCCCTTCGATGCAATGAAATTGAAAAATTATGTGACGTACACAGCTCTAGCCCAGTGAGAAGAGAGAGGACAACCCTATTAATTCTGCAACGAATCACACTGGATGCAATTTTTCGCCTCCTACTCATGCCGCAATGTCAGAAGGCATGCAAGAAAATGCGCGTAACTACTGGGATGACCAATATTGAAGGAATCCTTCTCGGAAGAACCATGATTCTATCTCACCCATAAACCTTTGGCTTGAGACGCATCGTTCACGATGAACACGGAAAGTCCACTTGGTTCACAGAGTTTTGCCACTAGAAACTCTTTTTGATCTTTTGATCTTTGACTTATTGCACTAACATCTCACACTTCTACTGCATCCTATTCTTTCGATCTTTGTGTCCTATTCTCCAAAATCGCACGCTTTAACCCGATTCTTTCAATGCGTCGCCTGATACGTGGCTGTCCCAAGGCACACTTCCTTCCATGCCCACTACGGCGCGACGTGACCTATAAGTTTTCATGATCACCTCAATGGGAATTGTTCGCTGACAACTGCCCCTTGATTGCAGCAGATCTCCACGTTATAAAATTCCTGCGCTGTACATGGTCACATTGAATTCATAAATAATTCTTTCAAGTTGTTTAAGATTAATTAGGATAATTTAAGTTTGTTCATACACTACCGTGTCACACTGAGCAAAATGACGGAACGACTATAACTCATTAACACGTTGACGACCGTGTGGTATGATGTCATACCACACTTTCACATGGAGCAGACTAGTTTTCCTTGATTTATTTGGCGTTTTTTCCTGTTCCACAACGGTCCATTATTGGATCCGAAAAACATTTTTCATTACTGATAATGAAAACGCTGAATTAATGCCTATTGATGAGAGAATACGAAAAATGTTGAAGCAGTGTCAACGGCGGTCGTCAACGTGTTAAATGAACGAACAACACTGTTACTTGCACAGGCTTTACTAGAAACGTTCCGAGCTCTACGCAAAATGTTATGACTATGCCGAACTTGTCTTGAAAAAGATTCCCGTCACACTCTTTTAGTATGTAGTGACCTCGTGGACTAGTGACTCATGGTTTACGACTCCAAAAATTGGATAGTCCAGGAAAATGAAAGAGATGTGTTGATTGGGGCAGCAAAATAAAAGATCTGTATTGATTGGGGCTGCGGTGATGTTCACAGTGTTAGACCTCGTGCAGCTTTCATGGCCTTTGCTCTACCCTCTCTGCATCATGGGCGGGTGCCTAATCATCTTATTCTTTCATTCTATTATTCATTGTAAGATTATCTCAGCATGCTGCTATTCCCAATATTTCCCAACCTTCTTGTTCGCAAATGAGGCCGAAGGGGCGGAGCGTCGGGAACACTACTGTGCACCGTAGACCCAGTCCTACAGTAATCCCTTTGCGACAACCAATTATCTGCCGAGACTGCATTGTACATCTACATAGAATGCAATTTCTAGCTCAGGGTAACTTTGCCATTTGGTTAAATAAGCGACGGAACTTGTAAAAACTGGAGCTGTTTTGACTTGATGGTGACTGTCCACCGAACCACCACACTCCTCTATAACGTGGTCATGTTTTTGTCTCCAGTTATGCAGTTTCGATTCAGTCTTTTTGCGTTACCAACAAGAGAATATGCTCGTCATTCACCGTAGATGCTATACTGAGCTCTATTAAGTAATGGCCTCCAAAAAACGTAGAACTCACCATTATTACATCCAGGACCGAAGTAGATGGTAGCGTTTTTAATGTAATGTAGATAAGCAGCGTGTTCCACTCCAGAATACTTGTTGCAACTCTCCATGGTAATTACTCTGAAAATAAGAAAGCAGATTAGGTAAGAAAGCAGTTTTAGTGGGCCTGGGGCTGGATTTTTAGGGGTAGGGAATACCTAACATCCGAAAATCTGGTCCCAGGTTCGGCATGCGTGCCCCTGTGCCCGTGTCGAGTGGTGTTATCCCTAGCACCATCCACTTTGTCGTTCACTTGTCAACATTCATACGAGCAGTAGTGTGCACTTGTTTTGTTCAGTAGCCTTTTTTCCATAACCGCTTCATTCAACGTGCCCTTAATTACTGAAAGCCAATCAAATATAACAGAAGGAAAAAAGCCTCAATCATCTGTTCGGTGTCCTTGATTAAGTTGTTTTTGTTGCTTCCTTTTCCTTATTTCTTCTTTTTTCCCGTTTTCTAACTCAATTTATATGTCAGTTGATTGCTCTTAATACGTCACATTACTACATGTTGTTTCTACTTCTCTGGCAACTCATAAAGATGAAGACGGTGCTCGAAAAATCTACTTCTGGACCTTTTCCTTGTAGATGTCATACTTTCTATATCCCTGTGGGTGATATTTTAGATTGTCCGATAAGCATCAACCGTCCACTGGAGAGAGTCCAACTAGGAGTGTCGTATTTGGCCGCGGGGAAGGGGAAGTTGCAGGGGTCAACGTCGCAATACATAGAGATCTTCATGGTTGTAAATGAGGAGGGAATGATTTTCGTTATAAGGAACCTAAATGCGTGAAAAAACGAATACAGTTTATACTTTTCAGATTTTCTCACTCTGTTCCTTGACATTTTCCCGATGTATTTGGCAGAATCACATGTCAATGGATGTTTACAACTACAAATCAAGAAATCACAGGAGCAAAAGTTGAATTGGTCTGTGTCGGTCTATACGCACCAGGCTGAGGGGAAAATGTGCGTGCCAATGCAAACGCGACGAATTCGGTTTGGCGCTAGCATATTCATCTCAAATCTCACGGTACTTCGAAAGATAATCTACCTACCCTTCCTATCGAAACTCATGTTCTGCTACTTGTGTTCGAATTCCAGCCTTTGGATTTTTTTAGATTGCACTTATTTCGTGGATCGTGTCGAGACTCTCCATGAGGGGGTGGGTAATAAAACTAAAGCGGTCCAACGTAAGCGTTAACCCAGCCGATAAGTAATGCCCTTTTTGAGACGGAGATTATTTCTTAAAATTTCTATATTTTTGCCTAATTTTACATATCGTTCCTAAAAGAAGTGCCTGCTCTACAGAATACTTAACTTCGTTTCCATATTCATTATGAACTTGTTGAAATTCAGCCATGCAATTTGGGAAGTCCAGTCGACAGAAATTACCGAACGAGCAACTAGTCACAACTAGTTGCAACTGTGCTACTGTGAGAAATCGATCATTATCGATCGATATGGCACACATTTAGTGACGATTCTTCTAGACATTCCGCTATTAAGTCGTGCAAGGAATCATGCAGCTCTTTCTTCCAAATTTGATTTTTCACAATAACTGTATGGTTGACCACTACACCTTCAAAAACTGAAGGTGTGTACAGATGACGTCGAGACTAAGTCAAAAGTGCAAATTTGGCTAATTTAGCATCTTTTCAGGGCAATTTTCCGGAGCGTTAAGTGATTTTCGTGGTCACTGGACACCTTATGACGCAGGTCCAAATTGCGACTCAGAACACAAAGAGAAAAAAGTGAAGACATGGATGATTAGAGAAGAAAAGTGGCTTGCGGATGTTATATAAAGTGATGTAAAAGGATGGCGTTTTAGAGGAAAAACTTCACTTGAAACCGACTGCTCTTAGAAGTCAATCAAAAGAACTGAATTTGAAACGGAACACGATAAGGTTTTCCTGACAATTCAATAACGGGATGTTTAGGAAACTGAGTTCATGGTACCTCATTGATCGATTTCTCCATGAGGGAACGGAGGCTAATGGTAATAGTAACCGGTTTTGCAAATGTTCTTAGACTGGACCTCGCAATTTGCAAGCTTGGAATTCAACAAGTTCACTTTGAATGTAGAGGGTACGTAAATACTTAGTAGGTTAAAAATTTTTGTGGAGCAGGCAATTCTCTTCCGTATGGTGTACAACATGACGTAAAAAACGTGGAACTTTACCAGGGAAAATTTCCCCTTGAAGGAAAAGATATTATCTATCGGACAACATGATACAAATTCTTGAGTACTTATTAGCCTTTCGGTACCTAAAGTTAGGTCAGAAGGAAGTAATGACTTACTGTAGCGTGTAGTTGATTGGTAGAATTTTCCGCTGCTTGAGATCCTGAGCGCACATTTTCAACACTTCCGGTTCATGAGCAATGTTAGGGTTATTCGGCAGGAGATGTCCAATACGTACCACACCGCCGGAACCAGCCAACCGCTCCATTTTGTCGTGTGTTGTCAACTGACTTGTGTCTGCCACAAGCCAGCATACCAGAAACGCGGTACATGGTATTCTGAAACTAATACTAGAAAGGGTTTTGTTCCGTTTGACGCATATATAGCGACTGCCTGAAATTAGCTTCGAGTGAAGCTTCATAAAGACAGATGGCACTACATATTGGAGGCGGAGTTTACGGTTGGAAGGGACTCTACTAAACCCAAAGGAATCCTTCCTCAAAAAATCGCGGTTTTTGTAAGTTTGTTTCTCTTCGAAACCTGAATCTTCTTGCGTGAAACTTTGTGTGCTATTCTATAGTGATCACAAATGACATTTTCATGTTAGGAAAGAATGCAAGAAATTCTTCTTGTAAGATTGGTCTAAGGTAGAGGTGCTCAGTGATGCCGGGAGGAAGGAAAAACGGCAACGGCACAGAACACGAGAGTTGGGACCTCCTTCCTTGCTCGTTGATTTCTGCATTGATGCGACTCTCATCGGTGCTGCCCTCTTCAACGCTAACGCTCTCTCTGCGAACAGCTAGAGACCTGCGGCGAGTGGTAAGCTTATCAGTGGGCGTGCCGCGTCGATAGCGCGGCGGGGAGGGCCATGCTAGGTCGCCGCATACTCTTCATAGCGAAGCATACCCTTCGCTGCGGATTTTTCCGAAACGTCAGTGAATAAAGTATTATAACATCCCTGTGTGCGGTGTTTGTGCTCTTACGCGAACCTCAATATGCGACTGCTGAAATTAGCTTCGAGTGAAGCATCATAAGACACGCGATCGCATCTAAATATACAGCGCAGGTTAGTGTACGGGTTAAGATACTACTAAACCAAAGAATTCCCTCCCCAAAAAATTAGACAGTTTTTGTAAGTTTGTTTCTCTTGCGAAACTGATACTTCTTGGATGTGCAACTATTCATGATTAACTATAGTAATCAGACAAATGTCCATTCACCCCAGGTTTTTTAGGCCGCGGGGGGGAAAAAAAAAAAAAAAAAAAAAGTTCATGTTAGGAAAGAAATAGCTTCTTGGGACAATTGGAGCTCATAAGGTTAGAGGCTCACGTGATCCGGCAGAGAGGAAAGGAAGAGCTGCACACCTCACAAGAAGACACGAGAGTTGGAACCTCCTTCCATTGCCTCGATGGGGGTTTTCTGCCATTGATGCGACTCTCCTGATCCTCTTCAACGGGTCAACGTTCTTTCTGCGTATACAGCTCAGGCTGCGGCTAGTGGGTAAGCTCATCATGTGCGCGGGCCCGGCTAGGCGTCGATAGCGCGGCAGCGGGATAGGCCACGCAGTCGCTCCGCATACACATTCATAGCCGAAGCATACCCTGCTGCTGGCGGATTTTTCCGAACGTTAGCCAATAAGAATTATTGAAACATCCCTGTGTGCCAGGTCTAACGAGGCATAATTTGCTCTGAGTCCTCCTTCTCAAATGCTGTTTAGATTAGAATAGATAATCTGATGCCTACCTTCAAAGAAGACTGACCTCTCCCTAACAACATCAGGATGGCCGCGAAGGGATATGCATTTTTTCACTTGAAAGACGCGCCCGTAGCGATTAGACAAACTTCACCAGTCACACTAAACGCTTGTGCCTCGGCCCCCATGAGTTCCTGCTGTTAAGGCCTTCCCTGGCAAACTCTGCTCCTTCTAGCAGAGAGGGAGAACAGAGCGTTCAAAAGGTCAGCACTGGTGACACGCACCCAGCGTGAAATTCAACGAAGACTACAGGGATCCTCGTAGCAGGTTTAGTCCACCACTGTATCTCATCGCGTTGATCTCACTTCGCCTTCTGCCTGAGCTTCTGCGCAAATACAGCGACCACTTCCACTTTCCATTCCACTACACACCACTCACGTTTCTAGTAATGCGTACCAATTCCCTCAAACGAGATTTTGTTCAACACTTAGTTTACATGCATAAGAAGAAGCAAATAGATTTTCGCTCAGAGTCGTAGAACTCGCCTCGAGATGAAAGGATCCGGCAGTCAGGAAAGTCTGCGTTTGCCCTTTAATGTAAATTATGCGATCAGCCTCAATAGTACCTTTGGTATCCCCCCGGAACCTAAGCGTCTGCGCCTAATCTGAACTTATATTTATAGGAAGATAGCGGTGTAATGAACGATTGCTGTCTGTGAAACTTAAAAATACAACTGCGATCGACTAATTGTTTCGGTGGCCAGAAAACTGTACATTGTGAGGCTGTCGTCACTCGTGTTGTGAAGTCTGCCACTTCAGACGCCTAGTGCCAATACAAAGAAATGTTATCCAGCCAGATATTGCTGATGAGTACATATTTCCAATAAGTTTCAGACCGCAGAAAAATCAAAGAAAAACTTTACAAAAAAACTAATACATTTGTCATATATACAAGCTGGAAATAATTCGCCATGGAATCCCACATGTGATCCCATGGTTTCACGGTTTACCTACGTCAATTGAGTGAATTGATCCTTTTCTTCAGAACCAAAGGTATTTCTAGCATGCGCTACCGAACAAAGTTTTTTTCCGAGATCTGCTGCATCTGACGGGATGCATCATCAGAGTACCATGCGATCCTGATATGAAGTACACTAAATGGTATTCCTCGCGAAAACCCGGTTACGGAAGGCTAATGGTGACTATTGACATATGGATCGCGAATATGACAAAAAGGGTATCCATCCCGATTCATTGAGAAGCATGAGAAAATTGTCTACAGGTCCGAAATACCACGTGGAACAGAACGGTAGAGTCTTGGGTAACAAGCCAAATATGCAAGCCTCCAGATCTCAAAAGACAGGCTATCTCGGAGGTGCAAAGCAGAAGCAAATTCGGAATGCCAAATGCTCCTAGCGCAAGCCGCAAACGGAGTCCATGTAGAGACCGATGACAAAGTCTTCAAGAATTTCCTTTGACGATCAGGTTTTCATCAGAGAAAACTCAGCATTAATAAGTGGGATTTTCGAGGAAACTAGAAAAGCGGGAGATGCTTTCTCTTAGGCGGGGAATTGAAATGGTTAGCTATACTATCTCACCCAGCCATGCTATCCAAAATGTGTTTTAAAATAATTGTACAAAAATCTCTTTTGATTGCTTTTTCGAGTTCTTTGAATCTTTGAGTTTCGTAGGTATGATTACGATGGGTACACAATCTCTTCCAGATCTTCGTTTTTGGGATGCACATCCCCTCTGCTCAAACTTCGAAACCTCGCTTTTCACCACAACGAACACAACGGAATTCTAAAAATTAGTAAACACATGTGTACATAGAACACTAAACAAAAGAGAAACGCTGTCAACAAACGTCGGATGCCGCATTAGTCACACTGTGAGTCCAATGGGATGTATCGTAATCGACTACAGCCAAATCGATTCGGCACAAAACCTCTACAAGACAACTAATCGGAAGTCCTCTTTCACAAGGAAAGGAGGTAGGTCGAATCAAACGTTCAAAATGAGATGTATACCACTTGATGCGCCCCTAGATACACATTCCAAATCTGCTGAACGAGGCTGCGAATAAAATTACGAAGGTTTTTCTCGCTGCAATTGGTGTGACGGCCTAACGGGTAAAAAGGTGGATTTGCAGGACCGACGTCAGGAGATCGGATCTGCTAGCTCAGTTTTCTTTGCTTTTTTCATAGCAATTGACAGGAGTAGATTGTCGTTTTTTGATGAGTTTCCCCTTGAATATTCTGACTTTGGCAGCCGCACTTTAGGCCGATGTCATAGTTTGCGAATCGAGCGATTCGCTAGCGAATCGCTGGATCCGAGCGTTGCGCCAGCGAATCGAACGTTGCACCAGCGAATCGAACTTTGCGCCAGCGAGTCGAACTATGTACCAGCGACTCAATAGTGGCGGGACCCAACGTTTAAAGGAAGGCTTCCTTTGAACGTTGGGTCCCGCCACTATTGAGTCGCTGGTACATAGTTCGACTCGCTGGTGCAAAGTTCGATTCGCTGGTGCAACGTTCGATTCGCTGGCGCAACGCTCGGATCCAGCGATTCGCTAGCGAATCGCTCGATTCGCAAACTATGACATCGGCCTTACAAGGGTCTTTTAGGTCATGGAGCGCTTTTCCAAAATGGTTTCTTGCGCTTGTGAAGGCTCATGCGAGGAACATAAAACTATGGTCCATTTTTCCTGAACACTTCTGGGAACCTCAAAACAGTGGTGAAGAAATGGTCCAAAGTTCAATCCGCCGTGGTGACAAATTTTTGCAATCCATGTTGGAGCCTCCAATTGTCGCCAAATTACGAGGATGACATGTTAATCGACGCTGGTGCCATTTGGACACAATTTGGAGGCGCCAACATAAATTGCAAAAATTAGACATCACGGAGGATCGAACTTTGGACCATCTCTTCTCCACTATTCTGACCTTCCTAGAAGCGTTCAGGAAAAACGGACCATGGTTTTGTGTTCCTCGCATGAGTCTCTACAAAGTGCAGGAAATCATTTTGGAAAAGCGCTCCATGTCCTGAAAGACCCTCTTGTTAGCGTACGCAACGCACGAGCGAGGCGTTTTCTCGCAAGGAGAATGTACCACTACCTTCAGGTAGTCAAGCCACCCTTTGTGACAAACTTCTAGCCAAATCGAAAATTTGACTCCTACATCGAAAATGGGGCAACCATGTGTATCATAGCCCGTTGGAAGCCAATGCCTTCTACGTCACCCAAGAATACAACTTTTTTGCGCAATAAGACTGGTCGTTCAAACTCCATTTATAGGGGCAACAGAAGGCTTCCCTATCATGATAATCTTCGTTTTTAGCGCCGCGTCGCCAGAATCTCTTCCTGACATTGACCGCTGCCCAAGACTACCGCGTTCCAGCACTTTTTGGAGAAAAGATGAAAACATCAGTTCCTTAGCAATGTGCTTTCAGATGTAGTCAGAGCACCTGAGCATGAATATCGCACTAGTTTTTGGAGAAACAAAACACAAAAAAAAACAAGAACGCCTGGAGAGTGTGTCATGGAGCTAGTTCTGAGTACTCTTTCAGGGCCACTCACCCATGCGATGGTCCCCCTGAAGAGGAGAATACGTGGTTTCCATGCCAAATGGTTATGAGGCTCCTCCTCAGCATATCATCAACTCTATTTAAAGGTTTCAGGAAATAGAGAGGTTTAACTTG